GCCCTAAATTTCAATCATAATCAGCAAATGGTGTAGTTCATGGTTGATGGGTGCAATAGTTGTACAATAAGTTCAGTGACTAAAACAACAAAAAAGACAAAGTTGAAGGACCAACTAAATAAGGATATTCCTTTCTACGGGATCAAGAAGATACGTTTCAATCAGTATGACCTTTCCTTTACATTGACACTAATTTCGCTGAAATGTGAAGGCCCATGAGTTCGCGCAGCAGGACAGACAACAAATGTCAAATCCCATGTTTGGGTCACATGGACTCTAGTCCAGGATGCCCAACTGATTTGGGTTCCCATTCAATCCGATCAGCCCTCTCATTTCTGGTCTCATTGACCATTGCTACACCACAGGGCAGTAAGCCAGTTCTAAGTTGGGCCTAGTTTTGCTTTGTGAGTTAGAGAATTGGGCTGGTTAATGGGCATGATTTTGATATTGGATTGACGGATAAATTCTCCAAAACTTGGGCTTCTGTATAATTGGGCCTTTTTTTTTTTTTCTTTTGTCATTCAAATTAAAATGCTTTTTGATGTGCTTATCATACCAAAGAAGAAAACTCTTAAGATTTAAAAAAAGAATGGAAATTGTGAAGGTGTTTTAACCTCCCTATGTGTAAATAATAATCTAAGAAAAAAGCATGTGGACAATCGGATAAGAACTTGCACAAAAAAAAAAAAAATGATAGATAGATGGAGTCATTTTTCAACTTTGGAAAGATAATGCCTATTAAAAAAAATGAGTGGATACAAATCCAACTTAATCTGCATTTATGATGCTCCACATTCTACAAACATATGATAGTGGTGTTTGATATGCATTTCTCCTAAAATGAAGGAATAGTTTTTTGTTCTATAAACAATATTTCCATAACCCCAAAAAGGCAAAAACCACAAATGAGAAAGAAAGTAGGCTTAATTATATATCTTTTCCTCAAAGCACAAATGAAGTGCAACTTCAGCTTCTTTCAACCATATTTAGTGTATATCATGTAAAAGAAGCACTACCTTTGTGATCTTGTCATATATTGTAACTTAATTTGTTCAAACCGCACCCACAAAAGTCACTCTCCAGGTGTCTTAAAATTAAGATGTTTTTGGTTTTAAAATATGGTTAGTTGAATATACCACACACTTTTTCTTTGGTGATATGCACGGTTTTGTTTGCAAGTTGAATGTTAAATATTAGTGAAAATGCACCATTTAACTCACGTTTTATTGATTAATGTTAAACTTGCCAAGGGGAGACATGAGGTTCAGTCGTTTGAAGACATAGCTGCGGCTCCACAACCTTTTGAGGTTGTGGATTCCACTGTGGATTTGTGCTTAATGTTTATTATCTATATATATATATATATATACGTATTATGTATAATTGTATTTGTTTGTATTCTACATAAAATAAAGTTATAATTAAACACGTACTATATAATTTGATATATGAATCTCAATTGAAAATTTTTGAAATAGTAACTCTCTTTGATTCCTTCTCTCTCTCTCTTTTTTTTTTTTTAAATTTTTTTGCCGACACTCTCTTCTTGGTTCATACAAAATGTGAAAATCTCAAGAAATTTTGAAAGAATTTTGATTCTGATTTCAGTCAGAATTTATTCAAAATGTGGTGATGAAGACAGTAATTCTTTTGAAAAATTGAAACACGTACATTCGTATATACAAAAAAGGATTACAAAACATGTTTTCCATTGAATATCACAAGAAAAACAAACATTAGGAAAAAAAAGAAAGTCAAAAAAATTATGATGTTGCCACATCTTAATTCGTTTTTAATATGTTCGTATTAGTTGAATATATCTCCTGAAAGACAAATTTATAGTGGAGAGGGAGCAAGAGTTGGAAACTGGTAGGTCATAGTTCTCATTACATTCATAGTTCTCATTACATTCTTTCCTGCAATTGATTAGGGGAAAGAAAACTCCAATCGCCTATGGACAACAATTTTACACGCACATACACAAACATATATATATATATATATATGAGTAGAAATTTATTTATATAAAAATTTTATATATTTTACTTATATAAAATCTCAACAATGAAACTTTTTATTTTCAGTAGTTAAGATTTATTCATATTTATTAAAGATAATTATTTTTTTACTTAAAAAGTTATGATAAGTCTTAATTATTAAAAGTGGAGAGATAAATTGTTAAGATTTCATGTTAGTGTGTAAAATTTGTGTATAAGTTAATTCATTTTATATATATACATATATGTATATGAGCTGGATCTAACTGCATCCGACATTTTTGAAAATATGAATTAGTTCAGCAATTCAACTCACCAAATTCTTTAGTACAAAGTGTGTTTGTGTGTTGACTTAAGAACTAAAGGGTGAATCTTAGAGCAAATACTCTGATATTTAAGTTAATAATACTCTATTTGGCATCCAAAAAGAATAAGGAGAAAGCTAGAGGTTCAAAAAAGTATTTGAAGTTAGCTCTCAAGGGGTTTATATATTTATAGGCCTAAGGATGAGATCCACGTAATTTGATTAGAGTGATTTGCAAACTAAGATGTGGTATATTTAGCGTAATTTGTGGGAGAGTGCATCTAGTGTACATAATGCATGTGCAGTATGTCCTATGTCTGCGACTACCAACGAATTAGGTGCTGAGCTGAGCTTAGTCCAACCTGTTATGAACCTCGTTTACATCTTGCACTTCAGACTATTAGTAATTTGGTAGGACTGTTCGAACATATTGCTATACCAATATCCATAAATTTTTAAACAACTTATATTTTGTCAAACTATTTGTTACATTGAACACTCAAGTAGATCATACAAGCAATTCAATGCATGTGTATACTTTTAAACAATATTGGGAAGAGTCAGTTAAGCAGATTTTCCATAAGCTTTCAAGGTTCAAGGAATCATAATTTTCAGTTTTATTCTCTCTTTTTTTTGCTAATATATATATATATATATATATATATGTCACTTGGACAAATATACTTGATTTAGATTTAATATTTTTTGATTTAATACTCTTTGTAATAGATTTATTAAAAATTATTATTTTAAAATTTAATTTAAATCTAAAACACTTAAACTACTAAAATATACATCTTAAAATTTTTATTATTTAAAATTTAAATTTAAAAATAATAAATTTTTAATAAATATATTGAATTAAAATATATATTAATTATTCTCCGTATAACGTCTCGTGGAAAACGAGTACCCGTCCTTATGTTGGTTGTTAGGGGGTGGGAATGATTTCAAACGTTTTTCGGCATCTGTTTTGCTGGAACGGAATCTATATGCCGACATTGGTTGGGACGGATGTTCCAACTGGGATTAATATGTTCCGAACGGATGATTTTGAGGTCCATTCAAATGGTAGCTTTTTGACTAACTCTTTGCCTTTCAATCTGAGATGTTAACGGGTTTGGGTACCCCTTGTACTCCGTTTCAATAAATATTACTTTTGCTTTTCAAAAAAAAAATGGTAGCTTTTTGAGATGAGCCATTTCTGGTCAAATATTCCGGAATCTTAGTCGGTTAAGTTTTAGACATAATCTCTACTTTTAAGAATTTAAATTTAGTTATCTAAATTTTTTATGTTACTTATTGTATTTATTTTTATTTTAAAAATTTTAATTATAATATGTATTAAATAAGAAGAATTATTTAAATTATGATTAATAAGAATTAAAGATAAAATTTTATCAATTAATTATTATATCCATATTTTATAAAAAAAAGAATTAGGTATATTAAAATTGAATAGAGCGTATATTTTACATATAAAAAATTATTTGTATATTTTCTAGTTTAATAAATTTTTAGACACTTGTTTAGTTTAATTATTAAAAATTAATATAAATATATTAAGTTTAATCACTTTTTACATGTTGTAAACGTAACTATATTTTTAAGTTTGTGTGTCTTAAATTTAATATTAGAACATAAGAATTTTTTTAATAAATATGTTGAATTAAAGAATATATCAATTAGTATCTTTCAAATAATTCAATTGGAAAAATGTGTCCTAAAC